GAGACTTGAACTGAAACAAGCTGACTCTGGACCCACGTGGCCCCTGAGCTCCCATAAAGCCCAGGACATCAACACGCAGGTGGTTCTGTCAGGTTCCACCACAGCCAGGAGCTCATTCAACCCCGGCCTTGCCAACCTCAGGGTAGCCGGGGCATCCAAAGAGGTAACTGAAAACCCCCAGGTCCCCAGAGGCCCCTTGCCTTGTTGTGGCCCCGTCCTTGTGCTGGTGCAGTTCCCTCTGCCTCGAATGACTTTCTTCCTCTTAGTTTTCAAGACTCACAGCCAGCCTAAGGCTCCTGTGAAAGTCACTCAGGACACAGTTACGGTGCCAGGGCCTGTCTCTCCCATCTCTCCCGCCAGGTTTGGGGGCCCCTCTCTGCCCACTACCTCTACTGCAGCCCATAATCGCTCTCTTGTGACACTGTCTGGCTACTGTGGGGGAGCTCAAACTGCCTTTCAATCTGGAGTGCACGGCCCAGTGCCCAGCATGGGGCCTGGCACAGAGCAGGTGCTCAGCAAACGTTTCCTGGGGATGACTGGGAGGAGACAGTGACGTTAATGTGGGATAAGGAGCGCAGAGCAGGGAGGTGCTGGGGGAGGGGTTTGGGCTCCAGGGACGGCAGAGGCAGGGTGGACTCCGGCAGAAGGGTGGGGGCGGGAGGTAGGCAGGGATCCTCACTCCAAGCGGGCGTGAAGATGGCTCCTCCTCACTGCTGCAGAGGGAAAGGGCTCATGGCAGGTACAGGTGAACGTTACAGCTGTTGCTCTGTTGCTCTGTTGTGGCGGAGAGAGACACAGGTGAGAGACAGGGCGGGAACAGGGGCCCTGCAGGGCCTCTAGGGGCTTCCGTCATGAAGTCAAGCTGGCTGCTCCTCTGGGGCTGCCCCCACACTCCCCAGGCTTCTGCTTCCAGAGTGATAGAGTGGAGCCCCTTGTCTGCCACAGAGTTGGGGGGCAGTGTGGCTCTGGGGTCAAGAGTGTGGGCTTCGGAACCACTTTGCTTATGTTCCCCTCCCAGCCTTGTCACTTTGTAAGCCACAGAGGCTCTCAATTTGCTTTCCTCATTGGTAAAATGGGTCGATGATAAAAGTACCTACCCCTGAGGGGTATATAGCTCAGTGGTAGATAGCGAGCGCTTAGCAGGCACAATGTCCTAGGTTCAATCCCCAGTATCTCTGTTAAAAAAAAAAAGTACCTCCCCCTCACGAATGAGGGTTAAATGTGCTCACTGGAGTAAAGCTGACAGCAAGAGCCCAATGAGCATCAGCTAATATGGCACACACTCAATAAATCCATTCTTCTGAAACACTGAATGACTTCACTCACCGGAGAAATGCAAATTCAGACAACAAACTGTTCCCGAACAGAGACGCAGAGACAAGGTCGGTTAACAGGGTCACGGAGGGTGTGGGGCGGCCCTCACCTACACCCTCGATGGAAGGAGGGCAACGTGACAATACCTACGCACTGTAAAATGCACATTCTCTGACTTAGCAATTTGGCTTGGGAATTTAAGCTCACACATGTGTGAAATGACGTTCTATACAAGGATGTTCACTGCAGCACTGTAATAGCCAAAGATCGAAGACAACCTAAATGTCCATTAACGCGATTAACTAAATTATGGTACAGCTCTGCAATGGAGTTTGGCTATTAAAGGGGTGGGGAACCCTGAGTTTGGTGGATGTAGAGTGAAAAGCAAGGTGCAGAATAGAATATGCCACCATTTGTGTTAACTCTATTTTCATTCACTTGAAAACACCTAAGACCACCTCTGAAAGGCTACTCCAGCTCATTAGCAGTGGCTGCTTCTGGGGAGGGGCCGGGGAGGCAGGAGACGCAGCTGGCAGGGAGATTTATGCACTGTATCCCCTTATGTACCTTCTGAAGTTTATGCCAAGGGCGTGTGTTACCTAATCAAGGAGAGGTGACTGGAGGAGTGCTTGCCATTTTCTCGGCACAGATAACGAAGGCCCACTGCTGTGATACCAACCACTTTCCATGTGCACCAAGGAGCAAGACAGATTGAAAAATGTGGCTCTGCTTTTACCTCTACTGTGGGGTAAGAAAATCTAATCAAGAAGTTTTTGCCTTTAGGAAAGCAAGTCTCGTCTCTCTGTTGACACTGAATTGACGCTCTTGGTAATGGCAGAAGATGCCACCTGGGCACTGGTGCTGCTGTGGGGGGTGACTGAAGGATGCCTTCCAGCTTCCCTGACAACGCATTTCCCCTAGATAAAGAAGGAATGCAGCCTGCATGCAAATATCTCTAAATTAGACGTGGCCCATCTTGCCTCCTGCCGCTGAATTCAGGCGTGCCGACCAACACAAACATAGCAGCGAGCTGCGAAGGGAGAGGAAAATGAAATCCTCACTTCCCTTATGAAGACATTCTGCCTAATACTGCTTAAAGGCTATTTTATTGCCATGTTTAGATAGGAGAAGGAATATTGCCCCTCTGGGATGCCATGTCCTGGACTCAGCTATGGGCATGAGGATACACACAAAGGGGCTCTGTTTGAAGGGGAGAGCTTGTGAACCCCAAGAGTGGCAGACACAGAAGTCGAGTTCTGAACCACAGGGCAAAGGGGGCCTTTACTGAAGCCCAAGAAATTCTCCCGGAGGAGTGGGGCCGCTCAGTGAGGCAGTCTCAGCCACAAGCAGACACAAAAGGTAGGACACACCCCAGGAGCCTAAGGGTGAGCAAGGCTAGTGATGAGGATATTCCCCTTGTTCTTAAAGCCTTTCTCAGCCTTGCATGGCGCTCTGTAAAACGGGCCAAAGTTAAGATTTTTCCTCATCCTGTCTCCTTGGTTCCCAAACCCCTGGAAATGTACACTGCTTCTGAATCCTAAAGGATTACCTTCCCCTCAGGCCCTCCCATCCAAAAACCAATGGAAAAGGGGACCACTTCCTTATTTGAAGGTGAAGGTGTGAATTCAAACTTCCTTTTAGCACAGGAACTTTACAGAAAAAGAAAACCTTAGAAAGCAGCCCAACATCAGAAGCAGGGCAGAGTGGGGTGACTGTCGCTGAGGGTGTGAGTGGCCTGGAGTCCTGACCGCCTTCTCTTCTATGTTGGCCTTTGATGCACTTGTGGGAAGCCTGGGGCTTTGGTAGAACACAGCTGGGAAACTGCTGAATGGAACTTCTCTGGACGGATCATCAGGTGATAGTGGTTGCTTCTAAGGACAGGGAGGCCTGAAGGGTGGGAGATGGGAGGGGAGACTCCTCACTGCATACCTTGTGTTAAATTTTGAACTCTGTACCGTGTACAAGCATTACCTAGTTAAAAACAAAACTTAAAAAGAAAATAAAGCTGAAGGACTAATGATATCTAAAGCATGAAAAAAGTAGTTCAAAAGTCTAAGATTCTATGGGTTGCATCTGGACATGCTTTATTCTTTGTGAATTCATTAAATCCCACATGGACAGTGGAACAGATCGAAGCAGACTGTGGCAGTCAGTGATCCGTGATTGTCTCCTGGACAGAGGCAGCTCGAGGGAGGGCAGAGCACGGGCTGTGGAGTCCGACAGACCTTGCTTTGAAAGCCGGCTCTGTGCTTACATGCCAAGGGCCTTACACAAGTTACTTACCCTCTGGGAACCTCAGTCTTGGCTTCGGAAAACTGGGGATAACGATGCCGGCAAGGCTGCTGTGCAGGTTAGAAAGAACGGATGTAAATCGAGTAGCACATAGCAGGTGTTTGATACATGGCAGCTATTATCATTGCAGAAAAGTGAAATAAAAAGAACCAAATCCAAAATGTGACTGTACAGCAACTCTAAGTCTGTAACAGGCCCTGCAACACGCTCTGGCCACCTCTCTGCTGGAACGCTTACCTCCTGGTGGTGACTGGCACACGGCCCATCTTCCCGCCGGGCAGGAGGTGAGCAGCAGGAGGGCAGGGCCTGTCTCACTGTTCTATCTCCAGCCCAATCCAGGCGCAATCCAGGTGCCATCTTATTCAGAGTCCTTTGGGGGGCTGCCTGGGATAGCAAACAGGTTTCACTGGCCAGATGGTAGCGACTGCCAGAGGAGCCCTGCCCCTTGGGGCTCCCTGAGCAGCGAGAGCTGCTCTGACTGAATGGTGGCCACAGGCACAACGCAGGGCATGTGGCGTCCCCTGCAGCCTATTCGCTGACCCTGGGCTAAACACTTCATTCTAAATTGGTTCTTCCACTCCTCACTCATGAGGACCCTGTTCTGTGTGATGGATTAAGATCAGGCTAAAGGATGCTGACTTCTGTAAGGGAGGAGAACAACCTTCTCACAGTCCCTGTGAAATGGGTGCAACTTGCAATTCTGAAGCCACAGACTTATGACGGAAAGACAAATCACCAAAGGGGTATTATTATCCACACTTTGCAGATGAAGGAGTGGGATTCAGGAAGGTAAAGTCACTTATTCAAACTGCCACAGCTGGTAGACGATGTGGCCGGGATCTGGACCCAAGGCCTGCCCACTCTAAAGTGGTAGCTCTCTCTCATTCTGATGCTCGGAACCACCTGGAAACTTAGAACAAATGAATACCAGCACCCGGGCTGCACTAGAGATTCCAATTTCATTATTCTGGGGCGAGGCCCAACACTGATATATACTTTTAAGTCCCCCTCCCAATCAGAGTGATTCTGATGTGTGACTGGGGTTCAGACTGCGGCTCTGAGGACCAAACACTCTGGCCGGCCTTGCAGCACCATGGAGGCCCTTCCCAGGATGCTTCTGCACAAGCGATGTGCCTCGTGTTACACACCCGGGCTCTCTGTGTCAGGGCTGGAAGCCCTAGAGAGGTGCCTAGTCCATGCCCTTCCCTCCCCAGCTGCAGATGGGCAGCCTCGCCACAGTCCCTGGGGCAGCCACAGTGGCCACTTTATCCCTGATCTGCTCTCTGAGCCTCAGTTTGCTCACTGAAAGGGGAAGGCCAACCGCTACCCTTCCTCAGATGTGTCCCGTGACAGCTGCCAGGAAGAGGTTAGAGGGTACAAAGAATGCCAGCCCAGGAATACCAAAACTAGCTTTAATTTGTCCAAAAGTCACACTGAGCTGTGTAAAAACTGCTTCTGGGGGAGGCCCAGAGAGTCCATGCCACCCAGGGCCAGGGCCCCTAGAAGCTCTCCAGCAGGCCCAGGACGCGCTTCTGCTCGCTCTCCCGGAACTCTGGGCTCCGGCCGTCCCCGATGTTCTCTGCGTACTCTGGGGAGACAAAGGCAGCGTCAGGCGCAGGTTGGAGGTGTGGGGTCACTTCATACCCCTCCCCGAGCCCCAGCTCCAAGGGGGTGCGTGCTGTCTGGTGCCTCCAGCAGCGCCCGTGGTGGCAGCTGTGGCCAAACTCCCTGGTCCTGCATTCGAGGCCCTCCCCTCTCCCTGCTCACAGTCCTCTCCGTGCACGGCCTTTACTCACTTAACACACACAGTGGCTGCACACGGGCAGGCACTGTTCCAGACCGGTGGTTCTCAGCGCGTGGACCCCAAGCAGCAGCACCAACACCACACAGGAACTTGTCAGGAATGCAGATCTGGGGCCCATTCAGACCTACTTTGTAGGGAACTCTGAGGATGGGGCCCAGCAATCTGTCTGAACAAGTCTTCCTGGTGGTGCTGATGCTGCTCATGTCTGAGAACCACTGTTTGAGGCAGTGGGGATAAAGTTGTGATCAAAAGAGATGAAAATCTCTGCACTTGTTGATGGAGCCTACTTTCTAGTTGGGGGAGACAAACCAGAAAGTAAAGGAAATATATAGGGTCGCTATCAGAAGGCCTCACAGAGACGGGGGCGGTGGGGGGGGATTTGACTAAAGGCTTCAATCACGTGTGTGTGGGACTATCTGGGAACGAGTGGGCAAGGAGGTCGGTGTGGCCAGGGCTCACAGCCAGGGGAGGGGGCGGGGTGCAGGTTGTGTGGGGCCACCATAAGACCTGAGCTTTTCCTCTGAGATGGGAAGCTGCAAGAGAGTTTTAAGCAGATGAGTGACATGATTTGACTTTTTAACCAGCTCACTCAAGCTGTTGTGTGGAAGATACCCTGGTGGGGGCAAGGGCAGAAAGAAGGAGATGTGATTGAATGATGGCTTGGACCAAGGAGGTCATACTTGAGGTGAGAAGTCTTCAGGTTGTAAATATATTCTGAAGGTGGCTCCAGCAGGATTTACTATTAGACTGGAAATGGGATGTGAGAGAAGGAGACACTGAAGTCACCGAGAAATACAGAAAAGTGGAGAAGGTGACAGTGAACCCAGAATTCCTCCAGGGAACTAGGGGAACAGGTGTCTGCACCACCACAGAGAGGTACTGGGGTATAGTCCACTGACGTGAGAGTCAAACAGCTGGGTGTTTTTTGGGAAAAGGGAGGAAGAAAGAATGGTCTAGACACACCGAGGAGGAGCATGGAAGACCCTCCACTGTCTCCAGTGGACAAAGGCGTGTGGGAGAATACAGGCACCACTTGAGAGGGCCAACCCCAGGGAGAGGCACTTTCCGTTGGAGCAGGAAGACAAAGGAAACACGCCTAAAGGATGGGGATACAGGAGATGATGCTGACGACAGAAGATTTCTAGAGGACATAATCAAAGAGCTTTAAGGTGGGTAACTGTATGGTCCAGTTTACTTGGTTATCCCAGCACAATACTTAATAATCCTCCACTTTATTCCCCAAAGTGTCCTGGTCCCCCTAGATTATGCGGTCACCTGGATTTAGGAGGTGAGGAGGGGTGGGATATGGCACAGGAATGATGTGTAGAGTTTAGAGAGTGCAGGGCCTGAGCGGTAGCAGGGGCCCTGGGATTCCTGTGGTGACTTCCAGGAGCAGGGAGACAGAGCTCGGTGGAGGAGGAGGGAGGACGGTGATCCAACTCCACTGCCGGCTGACTGCGCCCTGCCCTCGCCCTTGGAGGGGAGATGGTGCAACACTGCGGGCTGTTTGGATCCTGCCTCTAATTCACAATCCTAAGTGGCCTTGCACAATCTCCTCCTCTGAAAATGTACATAAAGAACCTAGTAAATAACGGATGTTCAAGAAACACTAGTTCCCTCCCTGAGCCTGCTTTGCTCAGGCCAACAACGCCACTCAGAGAAATCCCACACATCCTTCAAGGACCATCTCAAAAGGCAACTTCTCTGTGAAGCCCTGCCTGGTCACCTCTCATTCCTGCTCCTGTCCTCAGGCCCCTCGTCTCCATCACAGGCCTGACTTCTAGGTCATCCTCTCCTTGTCCCCTCTCTCCCTCTAGACTGAGAGCCTCATGAAGGCAGGGGCCTTTGCCTTACTTTCAGCTAAATTCCCAGCACAGCCTGGCTGAGAGCCAACTAGCTGTCTGGTGCAATGAATAAGCCCTCAGAGCAGTTATCAGACTGACTGCGAGCACACCTGCCCCCTGCTCCCTGACTGGGGTGGCCTGAGACGGAACAATAGAAAACTCTCCTGCAAGAGGCGTCTGCCTAATAAAACATCTGCTGATTCAAATCAGACAGAGACTGGGGAAGGAGAAGAAAGTGTGCAAACCCTCCCCTACCTCCCACCGCCACCATGCTGGGGAAATAAGCTTGCTCCGGCCGCTTCTTCATTTTCCCTCTGTTCTCTATATTACTTTGGACATGTGCCGGAAAACAGGATTTGGGATTCACACATGTGCCAGCTGTGTGTCTCCCCTCGGAAATCATCCTTTTCTGTTAGGTCCATCCATCACTTCCAACAGCAAATGGTTGTGATTCCTTCTATTAAGGTTCCTTAAAGGGACGGCTAGGGTGCTGGGAGAACAGGAACTGGGCTACCGAGGAAGGCTATGGGCTGTATGTTAAGTGGCATCTCTCACTCACATGAGAATGATCTAGTCGCTGTCCCAGGAGAGACCATTATAGCATTCAATACCCTCAGAGGCATGGTCTGAAAGCAAGAGTCTTAATGGATTGAACTAACACTCTGCTCTCCTAGTGTATTCTCAGACCTAGGAGAGAGGGACGTGGAGGAACATTTGATCCTTTGGCGCAGCGATTTTCCAAGGAAAGCCAGCTTCCCTAGAGGGACCTAATCTCTTTCTAGGGATGAGCAAAGTAGAGAAACAGAGTCTGGATCAGTCCCCTAGTTGAATCAGCCCTACCGAGGCCTTAGGAAAACCCACGCCACCACTGAACACAGAGCACCCATCCGACGGACGGGTCTCCTCTTGTCTGTGTGCGGGGAAGGACGAAACAGTCAGATGCCTGTTCTCTGGGAACGGGCTACGAAGGAAGTGGGCACAACCTGGAAGAGGGGCTGTCTTGCACACAGCAGCATGGGAACTTTATGTAGTGAACACTGGTCATGTGCAGGCATTTATATCTGCTGTCCCACTTAATTTCTGCAGCAATCCTATAAGGCAAAGAGTACCATCTCTGTTTACAGATGGGGAAACTGCAGCTGATTAGAGAACTGAAGCCACTTGCCCAAGTCTATAATGGTTCAGGAGCTGAGATTCAAACCAAGAACCTGTGTGAGAAGTGAAAATGGCACCTCAAAATCCATGGGGAGGTGGGGGAGCTGGTTCCCAAAGTGGCGCATTCTTACCTGAGCAGTACTGCACCCTGCCTCTTCCCCATCCTTCAGGAGAAAAACCTCCACAGCAGCCCAGCCTTGGCAGGGCATCTGGCTACAATGTCCTCATAAAAGGTAAAGCTCTGGAGGGACTGTTCTGTGGGAAAGGGGCCTCAGTGGCCAGAACAGATGTGGAGTGGGTTGCTGGGGCCACGCTCTCTCATGCTCTCTCATGTCACCAAATGTAAGAGCTGCCAGGTTCTCAGGAACATATCAGCCAGGGTCCCACAGTGAGCCAGGCACAGGGCCAGGCACAGGACCAGAACTGACGAGAGCCTAGTGCTCTCCTACTGCCCCGGCAGCTGGCCCCAACGGTGCACCTCACTGCACATCCTCCACCCCTTACCCCAACTCATTCTTTGTTTCCAGAGTAGAATCCTATTTGGAGCAAACCGTGGTGGTGCCAGCTACTTCTGGTTATTACAGCTGCTGCAGCAGTTTATAAATATTGAACAGGTTCCTCTCAGAGGTCTTAGGAAAGAGTTCTCTCTGTGTGTGTGTGTGTGTGTGTGTGTGTGTGTGTGCGCGCGCGCTACATGAAGGGAGAACTTTGGGGTTGGGGATAGAGGAAGAGGGGGAGTTGGGCTGGAGAGTGAGAAAGGTGGTGTGTACATCAACTCCCTTCTCTACTTCCCTAGCATTTTCAAATGCTCTTATAATAAAGGCTTTGATGGAGCTCAAAAACAGGCAGCAGTGCTGAACGCATAAATATTAAAGCAAACTTTAGACAGCAGGTTTACGATTCAGACATGGAATACAAGCTGTTCTGTTTATGTTAAGAGGGAGAGGGAGGGGGCACCCGGGCTGGCATTTGAGGAAGAACTGTCTTCCAGGACAGAGACTTGGACCAGTACTCACAAGCCTGGTTCAATCCCTGGACCTTAAACGCTTACCCTTTAAAAAGTGCAGGAGGAAGGGGGAGCAGGAAAAAGAGGGATGCCAGTATTTTTAAACTGAAAACACTCGAAGACATATCAGTGATCACAAAATACAAGCTGGGAAAGTAAAATCCCTGAGGTCTAACAGAGATTCCTCAATGACAGCAATGGGCGTGGAAGGTCTAACGTTACACTGCTCCGGAAGAAGAACGTGCTGGGTCTGCTGTGGGGGTGTAAGTTTCATCAGGGTGTCATTAAAATGAAACCCACTTAAAGGAGAAGGGAAGGAAACTGACCCTTTGGATGCTGGCAGGGTCACATTCCCATAGCCCGCTTTCCTACAGACATTTTAGCTGGTTGGAAAAGCACCACCCCACCCACCCACCCCCACCAAGCCCTGAGGAGGGTGATCTGGGTGCTGGTACAGGCTCTCCTGCCTGCATCTGAGTCCCGGCTGCTGCCAGCTCTGGTGAAAGGATTAGGCCAAGGAAGCGAAGGAACTGTATTTACTGAGTAAGTGTTCTGTCCCGGGGCCCCAAATGCATCTCAACCTCAGCCTTCCTTGGGGTAGTATTCCCTTTCGGTTTGTTTTTTACAGAGGAGGAAACCATGGCTCAAACATGTTATCTACTAACTTCTACCCCAAGTTACAGGGAGCCAGAATTCATGCTGGTCTGTGCATCTCTGTTTTACTTACTCCTGGGTTAGCTTGGACACGAATCACAACACTGGAGGTAGCTAACGCTCTC